AAGATAAGTATCACATAATCTCACTAATATGTGGAATTTTATGAACCAAATAAACTGATGAACAGAATAGATCCAGAGACATAGAAGCATGGTACAGACTCTCTCACAAATCTCAGAAGGAAGGCAGGGGTGGGGAGTGGATGGGTAGGGAGAGATTAACCAGGGAACTTACATACATATATGCAATGGTGTGGTGAAAGCCTGGGAGGGATAGGTGCTGGGTAGAGAGAGTCAAGGTGTGAAAAGAGGGGGACATCTGTAATACTAGTACTTTCAACAATAAAGATAAATTAAAAAGAAAAAAAAAATAACCACAATGAGACATCACCTCATGCCTGTTAGAATGGCTATTATCGAAAGACAACAGACAACAAATGATAGCATGGATGTGGAAAAAGGGCTCATTTCTGCCCTGTTGGTGGGAAAGTAATTTGGTGCAGCTACTAGGCAAAAACAGTATGGAGGTTCCTCAAAAATAAAAAAAAAATAAACTACTATAGGATCCAGGAATTTGACTTCTAGGAAATACCCAAAGGAAATGAAGACATTAACTCAAAAAGATATCTACACCCACATGTTGCTTTTAGCACACCTGAAAATAAACTATAAGGTTTAAAGCAGCATTATTTACAATAGCCAAGCCATAGAAACCTAAGTGTCTATCAATGAAGAGATTTTTCTAGATTTTTTTTAAATGATTAAAATATTTTACTATCATAAAATGTCTTCAAAATAAATCACTGAAACATAATCACCGAAAAGAGCAGGGGTTTTCATTTGTCTTTCCCACTAAAGTATCCTCAGTGTTTAGAAGAGTGACTGGCATATAGTAATTATCCAGTAGAGCTCCATCTGTTTAATGAATTGGTATGTATTTTGACTCAAACCTGTATTTAACCATTTAGAGGGAAAATTCATCTTGAAAACCCTAAAGAAAATTACTTATGGTGTCTTCCTCCCTGAAGTTTCTATTGGATTTTACATCCTGGTTTTTCTCCCCTGGGGTGATTCATATGTTTTAGAACCCCAAACCGAGCTCTCTGTACATCTCTTCACTTTGACGGACTTAGAGGCCAGGTTAGCAAACCACACACTTTCACGTGAGCACTCCAAACCGTCTAGAAGCACCCTCAGATGATGGGAGCGTGTGAACATGCAATCATACCTTATCCCGATTTGAAAATGGTTTGCTTTTAGCACATCTGAAAATATGGACAAATTAATAGTTCTTCTTAACAATGCTGATAAACAGAAATGAAGCATTTACTTACAAACATCTCTTGCATACCAATATTCTGAAAGCTAAAATAAAACTTGAAAGCCTCTTTGAAAGAATTGGGAGGGCTGCAAAGTGGAGGCTGAATAAGGTCCAGGAAAAAGATACACCTGGAACACAATAGTGTGGATAATGACATGTGGTGAGGAAGGTTCTAAAAGTTCTATCTTTAAGTTTTCTTTCAGGTTCTTCCACGCCCCTACCCCTTTTATTTTTACCCTTGAGGTAATTATTGGCCTACCTATCCATGCTGAGGATTCATGAGAATAGACTTGACTCAAAGGATCCGTTAAGCTAAAGCTAGTTGATGGTGATGGAAGGTTTGACTTTGGTGGTGGGCACACAATGTCCTATACAAATGATGTATTATAGGAGTGTACACTTGAAACCTATGTAACTTTATTAGCCATTGTTATCCCAATAAATTTAATTAATAATAATAAACAAGCAAAAATATTCATGAGCAAGATAAATAAAAGTTTATAATTGAACAAAATAAAAATTATAACAGAGTTAACAGGTAAAAGAAATCCTTCATAAGCTCCTTTTCTTCCCTCTGAAGTGAAAATACCCACAATGGATTTTTATGTTTTGTAAACTGGCATTTTCATATATAAGATTTCATTAAACCAAGGCTTTCCACCCTCTCTCCCTCCCTCCCTCCCTCCCTCCCTCCCTCCCTCCCTTCTTCCTATCTTTACTGTTGAAAGTATTACACAGTCCTCCTTTTCTTCCCATTAACCTCTTCCAGCCTGCTTCCGCCTGCCCCCCTCGCCCTCACCACCATATTGTCTGTGTCCACAGGTTATGCATATATGCATACAAGTTCATTGGTTGACCTCTTCTCACCCACCTTCCCTCTGAGGTTCACAGTCTGTTTATGTTTCTATGAAACCAAGGCTTTCAATGGGGACAATTTTACTTTGGAACTTCAGATGCACCTTTAGCTTTTTCTCTATTTCTGTTAAAATGTTTGTATATCCTTTTCATCACATAATTGATTATTTGCAATGCTAACATCTTAAGGTTCAGAAGAACTGGAATCCATGTTATTTTGAGATTGGCACAGTAATGAACACTGACAATGCCAAAACCTTGCGAGGAGTGTTGGTTGCCAAAGCACGTTAAGAAGATTGTATGACCAGCTTGTGTGCAGTGCCGTATGGAAAAGAGAGACCAATTTCCAGTGCATTTTTTTCTTATAAACTTAAGGGAACGGCTTATGAAAACTTTAAAGGGAAAGGATTTTTCTTGGCTTGGTATACCTTTCCAAACTTGGCAGTAGCTATTACCTGCCACACAAAGTGAAGCAAAATTTCATATATATATATATATATATATATATATATATATATATATATATATATATATATATATATATATCTCAGCCATATTTTTCCCTATTTCTAAGGAAGAACTCAGGTCTAATGGATCAGCTAGATCAGTCCCAGTAGATATGTTATGAAAATCAGGTGGCTTTTAGAAGTTTACATGATCAGTCTCTCAGCCAGTGACTTGAGCCATTTCCCACCATTGGTGGCCTTCTCACCCTCTCTGTACAGCACCATTTGTTCCTAAGTCAGCACATACACACCCTAAATGATGACGACTCACAAAATGGAAGTGGCTTCCTCTTTAGGAATCTAAACCATTAGAAATAAGACTATCGTGAGATTATTTTAATCACACCAACCTCTCTTCTAGATTCCCCAAGATATGGGCACTTCTTAATATTAACCAACTAGAGGCCAGGTGCATGAAATTCTTGCACAAGGGAGAGGGAATCCCCTTAGCCCAGCCTGCACCCTCTCCAAAATGGAACATCCCTCTCACAATCCTGGACTGCTGTCTCCTAATTGCTCATATGCCTGCCTGCCTGCCTGGTCTAACTGCCACCCTCTGCTGGCCTGATTGCCTCTAACTGCCCCCCCCCCCCTTACTGGCTTGGTCACCCCTAACTTCCCCCTCCCTGTTGGCCTGGTTGCTCCTGTCTCCCCACCACCTGCCTAGTCACTCCCAATTACTGCCCTCTGCCGGCCTGGTCACCCCTAACTGCCCCACCCTGCTGGCTAGGTCACCCCCAACTGCCCCCCCCCCCCACTGGCCAAGTCAACCCTCACAGCCCACCCCCCCTACACACCAGCTTGGTCGCCCCCAACAGCACACCCTGCTGGGCCTGGTCACCCCCCAATTGCCCACTCTGCCAGCTTGGTCATCTCTCATGGCCCCCCTGCTGGCCTGGTTGCCCCACACAGCCTGCTTGTTCAGTCTTTTGGTTGTACCTCAGGCCAGCCCTGGGTGGCTGGGGGACTGAAGGGACTGGGCGCTGTCATCTTTGAGGGCATGGCAATCCATTAGCATATTCCCTCCTTATTGGCTGTGGGTGCTGCCATCTTTGGGGGGGTGTGATGGTCAATTAGCATATTCCCTGATTATTAAACAGGACTAAAGGCCTGATGCACAAAATTTGTGCATGGGGGGGAGGGTGGTGGTCCATCAGCCCAGCCTGCACCTTCTCCAATCTGGGACCCCTGAATTTGAATAGCCAAAATCGCTCTCACAATCCAGGACTGCTGGCTCTTAACCACTTGCCTGCCTGCCTGCCTGCCTGCTCCTAACCACTTTTGCCTGCCAGCCTGATCACCCCCTAACCACTCCCCTGCAGCCTGATTGATGCCTAACTGCTCCCTTGCTGGCCCAATTGCCCCTAACTGCCCTTCCCTTCTGGCCTGGTCACCCCTAACTGTCCTTCCCTATACCCCTAACTATCCACCCTTGCCAGCCTGGTCACCCCCAACTGCCCTCCCCTGCAGGCCTGGTGCCCTCCCCCCCCCAACTGCCTTCCCCTGCAGGCCTGGTTACCCCTAACAGCCCTTCCCTAGACCCCTAACTACCTTCTCTTGCCAGCCTGGTTGCCCCCTAACTGCTCTCCCCTGCTGGCCTAGTTCCCCCGCAACTGCCCTCCCCTGCAGGCCCATTGCCCCTAACTGCCCTATTCTGCAAGCCTGGTCACCACCAACTGTCCTCCCCTGCAGGCCTGCAGACCCGGTTGCCCCCAACTGCCCTTCCTCTGCTGACATCTTGTGGTGGCCATCTTGTATCCACATAAGGGCGGCCATCTTGTATCCACATAAGGGAATGATGGTCAATTTGTATATTACTTCTTTATTTAATAGGATAGCCTGAGAAAACATTAACTTCATTAACTCAGTCCAATAATTGGAGTCTAGTCTGATTTACAGAATATTTCCAAAGAAAGTACTCTGTCACTTTCAAGCACACAGAGTAAACTAGTGGGGTATTGCTTATAAGGATTTATTTAATGGATTCTGAAATATTGAGTCTTAGTTGTATTTTTGGATTATATGGAAGCTGGTGAAGATACCCACAAAATTTCTCCCCCTGACTACTTAACTTATGCTGTCTATTTGTACCTTTACTTTTCAGTTAAAATCTTTTTGGGATGGTACAAGCCAGACTACAAACAAAATATCCCCAAGGATATTTTTAGTAGGGCAATTCATTCTTTCTCCACCCAGCATCATGTACAAGTTCTGTGGAGAATGTCCAGATCAAAATGCACTCCCTACTTCAGTGGAGGTACAAGGTTGTCAAATGATGAAATGTGATTATTATTGCCTTGTTCTTTGTCTCTCTTACCAGGATTTCTGTGAAACTGGAAGGGAATGGATAAACAACTTCTCAATACTTTCTTTTTCTTTAGTTGTTCAAGTTGGTTTCCCATGCCTTGGAAAACAAGATGGAGTGGCAGCATTTGAAGTGAATGTGATTGTAATGAATTCTGAAGGCAACACCATCCTACAAACGCCTCAGAATGCTATCTTCTTTAAAACGTGTCAACAAGGTAATCAGTGATGGTGATTTAAGAGAAAGCTCATAAGGCTTCCACATGTGGTTTGGGTCTATCTACCTATAGGTAGGTAGGTAGATAAGTGTTTATGTAATTATAATCATACCAATGGGAGGAGAGGGTGATACACACAGGGGCCAGTAACAGTACCTACTTTGACCCCACTCATATTTTAGGAACTCTAACACCTCCTTCAAAATGCCCTGCCTTCTACCTCCCTCCTTCTCCTCGTCCAGTGCAACCTTTGGGAGTCTTCAGGGGTATCTCACCTATGGTCATGACTTTCCACCTTTTCTTGTCCTGGATCCTCATAGCAAGGTTGACAGTCATAGCAGCAACTGCCATCTGTCAAGGCAACACTCCCCACTCCCCTGCCCAAAGCTTGGTGCCACTGACTTCCATGGAGGACAGGGTGCCACCATTAAGTTAGCTATCTCCACCAGGCAAAGGCACCTCATGGATGCCCATTTAAGCACGGAGGCCTGGCTCCCTTCCCTTCCTGGTACAAACTTTTCCAGCATAGAATGTATGCTCTGGAAACTTTCCGTGCTGTAAAGATACACCAAGAGGTCATTCCACCCTCTGAAAATGAGTATTGAGAGCAAGTCATTCGTTCCATTTCAGCATGAAGTTAAGGAGGTACAATAGATTGATAAGTGGGGATGATGGCAGAATAAGGCTTCTTTTGCCGTCTTCCATGAGTCCCCTACTGTTCAAAGTCAGATTGAGAGATACACAATCTTATTTTGAAGAAGACTTGATGAAATCCAGTGGTACAGAGAGAAAGGGGTAGAGATATTTGAATTATGATCATTGGTGCACTGTGGAAAAATGACCACTCCCTCTTCATGCTCGCTGTAGTTCACCCAACATGATTTCAAAGGTGTCCACTTAATCTTGTTTCTTTCTCTTTGGTGAAGCTGAATGCCCAGGAGGGTGCCGAAATGGAGGGTTTTGTAACGAGAGGCGTGTCTGTGAGTGCCCTGATGGATTCTATGGCCCTCACTGTGAGAAAGGTAAAGCGCTTCCCTGGCTTGCTCCCTAAGGACATGGAGGTCACACAGGAGCCCCACATGAACTTTAAACCATCCCCTGAAATTATGTTTCTGGTCACATTATAAGGGTTAATAAAATCTTTAAAAAGCCACAGAAGAGCTATTGGAAATTATTTCGTCGAGGGATAGTTTTCTGTTGAATACAAATATGTGGTGACAGGGTCAGAGAACTCTGGCACAACGTCTACATTGTTTTGTGGCCACTCCTCCCTTGCCCCGACTCTGAAAAATATTAACAATTATGTACACTATGATTTGACATTATCTTATAAAAGTTTTGAGGTTTTTTCACTCTACCTACATTGCATTTTAAAAGCTAGTATTCTGATTGATTTGAAAGTTTCTTCTCCAATTAAAAGTAACTTAATTAACAATTAAGTCTATACCTGAGTTATGAAGTTTCTATAAGGCAAAAAATAAAAAAGACGAATATCATTTGTATAGTGAGCACATCCATTTAAGTGAAATCACTATTAAGTAAATTATATGAAAAAAGAGATAAAAAAGAGAAAATGTCTATTAACCACAATATACTTAAATACTATGAGTTTATTTGACCAAAATACTGAATGTTTTTCTTTTCAAGAAATAAGAATTTGTCTTTGTTTGCATTTTATTTTAGAAAATCAAGGAAATAGAGCTGGAAAATATATTTATAGTCTTAAGGCCACATCTTAGTTGAAATAGTAATCTAGGGCAAATTTTCATCAATCATTCAAAGAGAATAATTCCAAAATTCTCTTCCATGAAAATGGTTTAAAAAATAGTCTGATGTGAAAAAATATTGTCTGATTCATAGCACAAAAATAAATTTTAATTTAGAGAACTTACATCTCTTAAGAGTGACAATTTTTAATCAACCACCAAACTTGAAAATGTAGACCTGTTATGGCATTGACATTTTTAAAATGCTGCTGCCCCCAAATCCTACTTGGCCTTAATCAGCGCTCTCTCTCCCTACTAGCCCTCTGCACACCACGATGTATGAATGGCGGGCTTTGTGTTACTCCTGGTTTCTGCATCTGCCCACCTGGATTCTACGGAGTCAATTGTGATAAAGGTAACAAGTGTTGTTGGTTTTAAGAACAAGGACCTTTCTGCTTTTTGCTGTTGATCCTCCCCCAAGGATATTTTTTCCATTGACTTTTAGAGAGAATGGGAGGAAGGGAGGGTGAGAGACACAGAGAGAAACCTGGATGTGAGAGAGACACACAAATTGGTTCCTTCCCACACATGCCCCAACAGGGCTGGGGCTCAAGCCTACATCCCAGGTAGTTGCCCTTAATGGGGAATCAAACTCATGACCCTTCGGTGCACAGGGTGATGCTCTAACCACTTAGCATACTGGCCAGGCCTCTATATTTACTTTTTAAATGTTTAATAAAAGACATATTTAATATATCAACACTCGTAATAACAGTGTGTATCACTCAGCTGGTTGCTGTAAAAACTATAACCCCAACTTTTAGTGTAGCTTAACACAGTTTATTTTCACCCACAGAATGCCCCTGTGCAGGAATTACCTACCTGGTCAGTGGGCAAGGCTGTTGGACTCCCTGAGTCCACTCCAAGGAGCCTCCCAGTTGGCTCCTTGGAGTGGACTCAGGGACTTGGGGGCCTTGCATCTGTTGTCCTATGTAGAGCTTGGATCCAGCCAACAAGCAGAGAAAGGGAGATTGGAGCAGGCACTGCTTAAAAACAAAACATACACACACACAAACCTGGCTCAGTAGTGACCCACAGAAGTTCCACACCTATCCCATAGGTAGGAATTAACCCCAAGGTTCTCCCTAGATGCAGGCAGGAGAAATGTCATCCCTGCCAGAACAGCTGTCTTCCCCTGACAACTGTATGGGAGGGGAGCTGGCTTTCTGTGAACAACTACCTGTCCCTGCCACATGGGTTTGTAGGTCCTAATTAGTTTTTAGGATGGAGATGAAACAACCCACTGACCCCCAATTCAATGCTCTGTTACTAGATCACAGCCCTGAGCGATCAGTTCCTCTTGCTATAATGCAGCATCACAGCTCAAACTCAGTCCTATTACTGAATTATTTATACTCTTTACAAGATACCCATCTGTTTTGCCCCGTTCACATCTTTTATGGAAAAAGATTAAATAATATGCTGCAAAGGCTATGCATTTAATGAACTTGTCCTTGTGTCAAAAGTGATGGTTGCATGAGTAGAGCACTATTTTTAAAATAAATATATGTTTAAAATAAAATTAGTGTTATTTTTTAGAAATGTCTCTTCAGTGATAATGCAGTTAGCACCAATTAAGACTGAAATGAGCAGCTTTACAAAAGTAAATAATAAAAGAAAGAAAAACTAACGGAAAGAGCATGAGTCAGAATAAAAATTGCCTGCTATTTTCTGGTACAAAGTACTTTCATACAATTATCTAACTTTATTTCCAACAACCTAGGTAAAATGTTACCTATCACATTCCCAGTTAAATGAGGTTTTCATAGGTAGAAAGGCTTGGTCCAGATTCCCGTCTTCCACTGTACCATGTTGACACTCAGGCCACCTGTTTCGGGTCCTGGTTCCTCCAGGAGTCACTCTGGATCTGGGCAAATATCTCAATCTCTCTGTGGGTCCTGCTTTTCCCATTCCTAAACTGGAAATTAATCACTGACCCCTGATTTCCCCACTCCACAGCTAAATGAGATAATATGAGACTGTCACTACCTTTTATTTTTAAATAATCTTTTAAAGGTAGAGCAGTGGGTTCAAAACAATTTTAAAATGTTGTGTTCATAAAAATTAAGCACTGATGACACTGATAATAATTAACAGTCAGTGGGTAAAATTCTTTATCGTGAATCTGTTGTTTTTTACTTGTCTAAATTTTTCATTCACCACCTCGGCTATTTCAAAATTGGGCATTTTTTGAAGCTGAATTAAATTTATGTTATATCAAAACTATTAGGAAATAAATCAAATCCTTCAGAGATTTGGATGAGGAACTCAGGCATTAACCGGTTTAACAAGAACATCTGCAAACCCTGCTTACCCAGAAACGGCTGTTATTGATGTCGGCTGCTCAGTGGTGTGACAGTGGCAATGCTTTCTATCGGAATGGGTTCACAAACACTACATGCTCACTGTTGAAGGAAAATATCCATATTCCAGTACTTTCTACACTTGGCAATATTTTATCTTTAAATGAACATTTTCCTCCTTGTTAGATTCCAAATAATTTTTTAAATTCTTTTAGAAAGTTGTCTGTTGAAATTTCATTTGGTCTCACTAGAGACCAGGGAACATTAAAAAACATTGTTTTACTCCCTCAACAAAAAAATGCTTTTATTGTTTAAAGGGAGTATAGAGCTTCTGAAAAATGGTGTAGTTACTGGTGTGGAGCTAGATCTTAGCTCCACATACTTAGATAAACATTCCAGAGTAATTTTCATTGGCTCTTGGGACGTCAGGCACAAACTTCAGGAACTGAGTAGTTAAGTATTGGCCTGCTTACGCTCTGTGCCTGTGAAAGTCACTTAGTGTCTGCGGTTCTTTTTCTGGTCAAGAATGATCGCATAGCAGAAATGTAGATGAGCTTGGTCAGGACAGTAGCATATTATACAAATACTAAGAGTGCGGCCAGACTCTGTGACCAGCTCTGTCATATTCTATAACTTTCAAATAAGCTCCCAGGTTCACTACATTCTACATGTCTACAGGGACAGTGCCCAGAAGGCTTCGGCCAACTGCGCGTTGATCCTAAAATTTCCACATCGTACTATCCCCAGCAGAAGCTGGAACCAGTGCGGGGGACAGGATGCACTCACAGACTCAACTTCAGCCCTAACAATCCTAGCACCAAGTAGCAAAGGGGAAACTCAAAGAGCTGGTTCTCCTAAATCCAAATTCTGAATCCTATACCCAAATGCTGCTGCTCCCTTTCTCCCCACTCCCCACCCTCTCCTGCCTCTATGTCAGGAGGCTTGATTTTGCCTAAATAAGTACATCATTGTCTTAAGCTGAGAGATACTTAGGATTTGAAACAAAAACGCTTCTCATTTAAGGTATTCATAGAACATTCTAGTTGGACTTCTTTTTCACAAAGAAAGCACACACTTATGACTTTTGGATTGCCTTTCTGAAGGTTACTTCAGCTTTTGTTCATCTATAGCCAACGTTGGCCTGTTTTATAGGACAAGAACAAATAGGCCATATAATTGGAATTGCTGAGAGTCTCAGAATCCAAGCTTTTATTTTAATCTTTTATAGAATGAGCCAACTTGTGTATTTTTAGATATTTGCTCCTTCCCTCCCCCTCTGCCCTTATCCCCATTTCTATCATCCCTCTATTTTAGGTGCCAGTGAACAGTCAAATTTCAGATGTTGACACTGAGAGAGGGTTTAGTGTGAATCCCACACAATCGATTTTTACCTGGATGGCCCAGTGAACTGGACGCCCACAATAATATACCCACGCGCTTCATCCCTGGCTCATGCTGCTACTACTTGGGGCCTCGTGAGGGCCGGCAAGCTGTCTCTGCCTGAGTACAGTGATCCTTTCTCCCAAACACCATAAAGAGTCAAGTTTTTAAAAAATTCCTTTTACATAAGATGAATCTCTGTGCTTATTCTGAAGGGAAAAAAAAGTTGTTTTCTCCTCTGTTGGGTCTGAATACTTAGGGCTTCACTTTCTTTTACCTATTTCAACTTCGAAAGTTTTCTCCATTTGCCTCTTCCTTTAGCTTAAAAAAGGAAGGGGGGGGAGTGTTTTCCATGGAGCATTATGTGGAAGCAGGACATTACTTCCCTTTAGACATTGTATTTTCCCCTTTCACTATCCTAAACAGCTTTTAAGGCAAATCTGGCTCAAGAATATAAGCGAGGAGCTTTACAAAGGTCCACTGAGTGTCACCTTAACTGGAGAGGAGGTGGCATGAATTGGGTTTGAGCAGGGTGAAGGCTAAAGATTCTTTGAAGGGTTATATTTTATCTTTAAACATCATGCAAAATTTCTATCATATCCATATAGCATCATGTCTATTTTACAAAAAAGCAATGTTTTCATTTCTAAAAAACTGTGGGGGACTTATAGTGGTTTTCTTTTTTTAAGGGTATAGATGTTTATAAGAAAATAAAAAACATTTTTTTTTTTTTTACACACTGTATCTCTTTCCACTAAGATGTATCCCCTTGGGGTGGGTACTACACAGCATGCACGGTGTTCTATTGTGCTGTCGGAGTCTGCTTATGGTCAGGCAGTTGGTTCTAATTCCTGTGTTTGAAAAGTGGTGGGTGAGAAGCAGATGCCTCCAAAGTATCACCTAACTCTAAGTGAAGGGTTTTCTTCTTGAGATTTAACCTACCGTCTAACGCAATACCCTGTTATTCATTCTCACAGCGAACTGCTCAACTACCTGCTTTAACGGAGGGACCTGTTTCTACCCTGGAAAGTGTATTTGCCCTCCAGGACTAGAGGGAGAACAATGTGAGATAAGTGAGTATTGGCCTTCTGCATTCTCTTTTCTTTTCAGGGACCTTAGCAACTCCATCTAACCCTTTCATCAATGAGCAATCTGAAGCCCAGAGACAATGAATTGCTTGTCCAAGGTCTCAGGCCAGTGGTTTATTCTCACTACACTCAGCCCCCATTCACTTGGCTAAAGGGGGGGGGGGGCACAGTGACATAGCTCAGCTCAGATGACTCAGAGCAAAGGCGCTCTGACGCAGGGACGTCTGGGCGTGGGTCGCCCGCATGTTGCGTTGTTCTTGGTGATTTTGTCCCCCTCGCATGTGCAGAGCCTGTAGTTCAGCCTACTAGTTAGATAGGTCCCCGAGCTGAGGAGCCCAACTAAGAGAAAAGGGCAGACTCGAGAAAAAGGAGAAAGAAGGGTGCCCAGCAATAAAGAACAAGCCAATACACACACCACAACAGGAATGAATCCCACCGATGTTAAGTAAAAGGAGCTAGACACAAAAACATTCATACTGCATGATTTCATTTTATGAAGTTCAAGAACAGGCAAGACTAATGGATGATGGAAGAAACCAGGGTAGTAGTTAGAGCACAAAGGAACTTGATGGGCTGCCAAAAACGCTCTGTATCTTGATTGATGAAGTGTCACATAAGTGTTTTATTTATGTAAAAAAAAAATAGTTGAGCTGTAAACTTAAGATTGGGGTATGTTATGCCTTCACTATGTATTAGCTCTGCTCCAATACAAAAAAAGAAAAGTAAAAATTTACAAGTAGAATGTGGTAGATAATCATTGCTTTGGGAATCAGGACATCAAACTGCCTGTCCTGGCTTAGCCACCTACCATCCATGTAACCCTCAGCAAGGCACTGACGTTTTTTATTAAACTCAGACATGAGCTGACCCCTGTTCTAGGTGACTTTATGGCCCATAAGGCAGGTAACGTGGGAGCTCTGCTCAGGAAGACGCAAAAGCAACGCGAGCGTGCCCCTGCCTTTCTGGAGGTTCTGGAATACGGCGTTTTCATTTCCAGCCGCATTAAATCTGTGGGACACCACCGCGCCTGGTACAGTCATAGCTTCTGAAGTTGTGGGTTCAAATTTAATAAAACCGACTTCCTATTTTAGCTTTCAACCCCTGATTTATTTGTGGGTTTTTGTACTTTAATGAGTACTAGACGAAGTAACCATTTTTTATAGAGTTCACATGAAATACCTCTGAAGTTTCCACAGAACATGTAATTAACTGTCAGGATGTGGTTCTGTTCTTATTAGTGACCCGGCCCTGATACAGATATCTGTGAGCTCACTCCTCTAAATTTTGCGCTGTACTGACTCTCAGGCTTTGGCATAGTTAGTTGGTTCATGTTTATGGATCTTTGTTTATGGCCTCATTTCTCTTCATATAAGTGTTCTCTTTCATATGCTCAGCTTTACGACCTTTCCTTTGGCAGTGACAGTGTTTTCTATTCTTATTTTATCTTTTCCCTCTATCTGCATAAAAAACGTGGGCTTTTGAAAGCTTCTGATTATCCCTATCATAAATCATATTCAAATCTTTTTAGGAAAATTTCTGTCTCAATCACAGGAGCCACATTAAAAAAAAAAAAAAGGTGGAAATAGTTCTCATTAGAGACAAAAATTTTAATTATGTATTTTTTTTAAAACATATTTTATTGATTTTTTACAGAGAGGAAGAGAGAGGGATGGAGAGTTAGAAACATCGATGAGACAGAATCATCGATCAGCTGCCTCTTGCACCCCACCTACTGGGGATGTGCCCGCAACCAAGGTACATGCCCTTGACCGGAATCGAACCTGGGACCTTTCAGTCCACAGACCGACGCTCTATCCATCGAGCCAAACCGGTTTCGGCTTAATTATGTTTTTGTTTTTTTTTTGTTTTTTTGTTTGTTTTTTTTACAAAAACAACCTGTGTTTTATGGTATACCTCTGAAAATAAAGGAGAAATTAAGAGAAAATTTAAAAGCAAATAAAAGAAATAACTTCCAACTATAATAACTGCTTTACAATCTTTTGTAATTCTTTGAATTCTGGAGTATTCTCTCATAGCTGGGCCATTGATGAAACAGTTCCTTGAGTTAAATAATGCTATTATTTTATGTATTCTTCTTTTTTATTAATAATAAAAAATTGAGATATAAAATTTATATTGAGATATAAAATTTACCATTGTAAAGTATGCAATTCGGTATATTCACAAAATCATGCAGCACTTCTAGCTAATACCAAAACATGCCATCACCCCGAAAAGAAACCCTGTATCCATTAGCAGTCACTACTTATTTCCCTCTTCTCAAGACCCTGAAAACCACTAATCTACATACTCCATCTTCAGATTTTCCTATTCTGTGTATGGATTTTTCTATTCCTACTCATATAAGTATAATCATATAACATATGGCCATTTGTGTCTGACTTCTTTCACTTAGCATATTTTCAAGGTTCCTCCATACAGTATCATATATCATGCTTCCTTTTAATTGCGGATAATATTCCATTGTATGGATATTCCAACCTCATTTTGTTTACCAATTCATCAATTGATAAACATTTGTTTGTTTCCTCTTTGGGACTATTATGAATAATGCTGCTATGAACATTCATGTATAAGTTTTGTGTAACGTATGTTTTCAGGTCTCTTGGGTCTCTAGGAATAGAATTGCCAGACTGTATGTTAACTATATTTATTTTGAGGAGCTGCCAAACTATTTTCTAAAGAGGCTGTGCCATTTTACATTCCCTCAGTAAGGACAAGGGTTTCAATTTCTCGATATCCTTGCCAATACTTGTTATTTATGGTCCGTTTTAAGTGAAAATATATATTGATGCTATCTATATTTTCTATTTTTCTGGCCTCTATTAGGATTGATCTCTTCTCAAATTTCATTCTGACTTGATTATGAGAAACATTTGTAGGTTACCAAATAAGACTGCGAGTAGAGTTATCTGGATGTAATATATATTTATTATTATTGAAGGTGTATAGATGTCCCTAAAATTTTTAATGAACCTTCAATTTAAAATACCACACAAATTATTTATACTGTATGGTAAATGGGTTTTTAAAATAACCTCATGGATTCTTATGATTATAAAAGTTCTCTGTAAAAATTTTAGAGCGTTGAATGAAATCATTACAAATCACCCATAATCCTAAAACCCAGAGATGATGACTATTGGTAGTTATTATAAACCTTTCTAATCTTTTCCTATGTGAAGTGGAGTAGCAAATTGAAGGTGTCCCACAATCCAATGGGTGGAGGACGTTGAATGCTTTTTAATATTTCATTGTCCTCACCAGACTCATCCACTAAAAATGCTAACTGTTCAAACTTAATCAGATCTGTTTGTCTCCAGCAATCCTTGGCCTCTTTTTGGTAATCTCTGAAGTTGACTCAATTTTCCACTGTCTAATGGATATAATTCAGTTATAAAATATTTTCAGGAAAAAGAAGTCAATATTAAAGATACTCTGAGTTTTAAAACCATCAATCTATGAGATTTTGGCTTCATGAGATTTGATCTAGGAGTGGCCTTCTACCGGTTGCCTGCAGTCACATTTCTGTTGTGTGATAACCAGGAGAGAACGTCCTCTTCCTGACTGCAGGGAACCTCTTGCCAAGGAAACATAGGACCCGAGGAGTCCATGAAAAAGTTCTCTCCACCAATCATTCTGTGTGTGACCACGTTCACTTCTCATAGAACATGGGGAAAGTTGGGCTTGCCAAGTATTTCACAATAAGTACTAGATCTTTTCTGCCACATAATTATTGTCCCACATCTTGCTTTCTTGAAAAACCCCAGTGCACTGCAGAACACCGTGATATGATCCAATTTTGTGCATACGATAGAGTCAGATTTTTAAAGATGCAAACAGAAATTCTGAGTTAGGTACTCCTTTTTTTTAGGGAAGGGTTAGGATCTTAACCAAATAATAAGTGCTATTCTTTGTATCCAAGCTTAGCAAAAAGGACCCTTTTGGGTTTTTAGTGGTCATTGATAAGGTGGTAATCTATTATTAAGGTTGTTTTAATAATTAAGGTTTCTCCTGTTTCTGGAACATCTCATGCATTAGAAAAATCTAAAAGTCTAATGGCATCCTAGGTTTTTGAGAAATTTTAACATCTCAACATTAAGTCTATATTGTCTCACCATGACCAAATGCTGATTCATTTGGCTTATATGTAAAGAAAGTTCTTTTTGATAAGTAAAAGAAAAAGTAAAGTGTGTTTTTAGCAAAATGATTTTCATTCTGGAATTCATTTCATGTTTGTTAAGCATAGTGCTTGCCGGTAAACTAATATAGTAGTTCACTTGTTTCAAAGCTTCATTTGACCAAAAAGATCTTAAGAGAAGGAAAGGTGGGTTGTTATTTTAGGATAAAGATTTAATTTCTTCTCCTTATGTATTAAGGCATTTCCAGTGAGTATTCTGCTAAAGTGGAAAAGAATAACAACAATAACAAAAAATACGTTATCCAAACTCCTCCACTACCAAGATCTACTGGCTGTTTGCTCCCTTTGCAACATCATTGTGCCAGTTACAGGGTGTGCTTTCAGCTCTGGATGGACAAACCTTTCTCTTGTACTTCTTTAAAAAATTCAGCCTTCGGATGGAAAATTCTAGGTTGCAGAGGGATAATAAGTAGCTTCTGGAATAAGAAGAAAATTATTGTATAGTTTTTACATCTAAGGCCCTATTCAGCTCTAAAATCCTGTGATTCAAAGATCTGTGAAAACTTTAGCAATACTCATTTGGCATATAGATTTTTAAAAAATGATGTGTCATTAGGATCTGAGACATTGCAGAAAAATGCACAGGTGTGGTATTAGGCACCTTTTGTGCATCTCTGACATCCTTTTCAGCCAGCCTTTCACTCTAGCCACTATTGAGACAACCTGATTTTCACACGAATAACCTGATTGTACTTTATCTTAGTTGTTCCGTAGTTCTCTTGCTTTCTACTCACATTCCTCTGAGTCCTAAAATATATGGCCTGTATTCATACAGTTGCAGAAAAAAAGCACAAGGCAGTTATCCTATGGGGTGACCCTTGACCAGTGGGACACAGGTGCTGATGAATAGATGCTCCCCTCCCCCTTCTTGAAGGTGCCACCTACAGGGCTCCTCAGCAGGATATAGTAGGGTAGAACCCAATTGCCACAGTGATGACCCACTCACACACATACTTTTGTGTTGGTTTTCCCTCCTGTTTCACTCTTCCTTTTCCCCATTCCTGTTGCCTAGGATCACTTCCCCAAGTAAACTATGTGCATGGAAGCCCTCCTTTCTGGAGAATCTTAGGCTAAGACAGATGCTGTCAGGTACAGGTGTCAGCCTGCTTTCAGAAAAAGTGATACTCAAAAATCAGAACGCAAAGGAAAGATCATTTACAGGGATATCATATCTCAGCTGTTAGTATATATTAAACTATAAGGGCTTATGAATCAATTAAAATATTGTTTATGAAAAAGTAATGTACAGATAGCATTTGAGCAATGCAAAAGGTATATATTCAAAATTATAAGTAAAAATACCAGCCTGATTGTTCCAAAAATGAAATTCAAACAGAATCAAAGCCAGATTAAATCTGGAATAAATGGAAATAACTGCCATTTAGTAGCTTTATCCACCTAAAACCTGGCAGTTTGAGAAATGGAATTACCTCTGAACGAAATATGGAATTCCTTGCTTATTTGCATTCTTCTTTGTTTCAGGCAAATGCCCACAACCTTGTCGAAATGGAGGTAAATGCATTGGTAAAAGCAAATGTAAGTGCTCCAAAGGTTACCAAGGAGACCTCTGTTCAAAGCGTGAGTACCCCATACACATGAGTCTGGGTAAGGGATTATGGAAGTAACCCTAGTCTTATTCTGCATTAACTTCTGTGCCTGCTGCATGTTACCTAGACATGAGCCTTTCTTTCCTGATATATACACTAAGTGGCCAGATTATTATGGTCTGAATGTATAATACTCTGGCCACTCAGTGTATGTCCTATATAATAAAAGGCTAATATGCAAATTGTCCCTTTGACCAAGAGGAGTTCAACCAACAGACAGGCTGGCCTATCGCCCATGTCCCCTCCCCCTGGCCAGGCTGGCAAGACCTCATCCACGCATAAATTCATGCACCAGGCCTTTAAAAAAATATATATATATACACACACACACACACACACACACACACATACATATACTGAGTGGCCAGATTTTTGTGTGTTCAGAGATCATAATAATCTGGCCACTCAGTATAGGTTTCCTTTATGTAGACTAAAACTGCCCTGTGAAATTGACACGTATAAAAAGTCAGACACATCCGCACATGCAGATGAGCTTTTGAGCCTTTTAGGAGTTTCCTTAAGGGAAGTAAACTCCCATTGCCCAGCAGTTTTGGAGTCTTGTCGAGCGTCTCTTGTGAATGAGAAGCGTCAAACTTAGTTTAAGATCATTCTCAGGATCTTCTCAATAAGTCCCAAACCAACTTGGAGCTGAAGATTGACAGGAAAAAAAAGAAATGAGGGGATGAAGCCAACACTAACACATCCTAAAGCACAGCAAGGAAAACAGCTGTGTATTTCTGTTGAGAAATGAAAGCTCAGGAAACATCCTTTTTATCTCCTTTGATTCTAGCTGTCTGCGAGCCTGGCTGTGGGACACACGGAACCTGCCATGAGCCCAACAAATGCCAGTGTCAGGAAGGCTGGCATGGAAGACACTGCAATAAAAGTGAGTGAGATGGCCTCTTTTATGTCTGTTCCTTGGCTTCAAAGACTGAAAGAGAACTCCTAACTCAGCCTGCTTTCCATCTCATTAAAGCAACTTCTTCTCTGCCTCTTCTCTCCCATGCTTCCTCCTGCAGCCTGCAGCTCTCTACACTTGAGTCTAAGCTTGAGAGTGTAAAGGGAATGCCTCATTGTACAATATCACCACAAAGATTTCCTAGATTAAATTAGTAAAACAGGTTGATTTGGAAATACGGGTCTATTAAATATGGAAGCAATGACAAGTAAAAGATTTTTAAATCAAATATAGAACTGTATATTCGTGGCTCTGATTTTGCCATTCAAGATTTATCAACTAACATAGCTAACATAGAGTTCTGCTGTTTATAATCTTTAAAAATTGTACTGGTACGGTATGTTTTAAATGAAGTTCTTTTGAGGGAGAGAAAGGGTTAAGAAGTATGGGAGAGATTCTATGGTGGATTTGAGGAGGTTTTGTGTTTTTTTCCCCCCCAATTTACTGATGATCAGAAACAAACTAGCTATTGAGATAATAAACCATTGGCCTATTTTATACAAAAAAATGAGACTTACTAAAAGCAACTGTTTCATTGTGGTTGATATCTTCCTGTGCTAAGCATGAATCTGGGCACTGGGGCCATACCAGTGAACAGGGAGAGGAGGCTCTGCTGGGTGGAGCCCAGGCTCTGGTGGGAGGGACAGGCAATTTGCAAGTGAAACACAGAAACAATGCAGATTCAGTGTGGTTGGCAGCTACAGCTCAGTCTCCTAAGCTGTGCCCACTATCTACTCTGCTTCCAGGAGAGGAAGACTTTAGCCTATGACACCCTGCGATAACAGAAGTCCACATGTGTCTAGCACAGCCATGTCTAACCTTTTTCATCTCATTGTGCACCCGGACTAATTACTAATATTCTGCAGCACATCAAAATTCATATTTTGCCTAAAAAGAAAAAAAAGAAAGTAGGTAGAATTTTGATTCATTCACACCAGATGCTATAGTTGTGTTGACTGTTGTCATTTTTTATTTGACAATCTAAGGGAAAAGAAGTCAGTGTCCCTGACTAGTCAGATATTTCATGTTTTAAAAATTCTTGCGGCACACTGGTTGAAAATCGCTGGTTTAGCATATCGTGTCTCCAAAATAATGGATACAATTGAATACAACATTTACAGGTCAGATGTTTTTCTAGATCAAGGGTCTCCAAAGGATGAAGCATGTAGCCCAGTAAATGTGGAAATGATCAACCGAGGTGCTGAGAAAAATATATTCATTTAAAAATATATCTGATATTATTTTATTTATTCTAATATAAATAGGTAACATAAGTATTTATATTTTCAACCTCAAATTTATTTTTGAGCAAGTTTTAAAATGCTCACATTGTATTATTCTTATATATATGTAATACACTAATATCTAGGTGCACATCTTTATTTTAAGGTAGTTGGGTCTGGTCTAGGCTATACTAATAGATTGACTTCACTCTTTTTCACCTACTGAATTGATTGGATGGTAGACTGAACTGGCTTCCAGTTGGCAAAGTTTAAAAAGAAATGTGGCTCCTCTGGGAAATAGCCCTTTACCCAGGTGGGAATGGTTGAATGGTAACCCTGTTAGAACATACATACAAGGAAACCTTCTTTGGACCAAAAGGCCTATAGAACGCTAACCTTTTCTAGAGCTATTTTAGGAAAGAGAAAACCAAACCCTTTGTTCGACCCTAAACTGGATGCAAACCTTGAGGCTTGTCCCAAAATCAAATTACCTTTTTTACAAGCCCTAGGAATGAGGTCAGACCACCCATCCCAGGATTCAACTACAAAGGTCCTTTGGGACTCACGTCTGGAGCCTGCTGGCCCCTGAGTGACGGGAGGACAGCATGAGGGGCACTGTCCTGCTGACACTCCTGGCACTCTTCCAAACAGGGGCGTCGTGGTGTATAGATGAGCAATTCTGACAGGTCTGCCAACTTCAGATAGCACCCCCCTTGTAGACTGTGCTGCTGAAAACTCTACCTCCTCTGGGCAAGGCACTGCACACCCAAAAGATGCTCCGGTGCTTACCGTATTTTCTGGCGTATAAGACGACCCCCTAATTTTACAGTTAAAACATAGGTTTAGGCCTATATTCGCTGTATAAGACTACCCTCCATTAAAAAAAAAAAGACTTACTTTGCCATCAAGATCTGCAGGTAATTTTTGTGCAACTTTGGTCTTTTGCTCCCAATTTTCGGTTGACTTTTTTTCGGTTTAAATGTCGTCTTATACGCCAGAAAATACGGGTAATTAAAATGAAATATGTGTTTGGGAAAGGCTACACAACTATTTTATACATTAGTTAAGAGAATGAAGGCAAAAAGAAGGAAGTTTATTTCGACTAGAGGGTGTAACAAGGAAGCTGTAAGGCAGAGTTCTTCTGTGAACAGATTCCCAGTGGGGTGACATGTTGGGAGGTCCCCGGCACCCAGGCATCTCAGTGGGAAGGAGGATACTGGAGACAGACTTCTCTGCTTAGGCTCACCCTCACCAGCAGGGAGGTTAGGGCTTCATGGGTGGCAGGGCGAGAGGCAGGGTAGGGATTTCCTCCAGCACATTGTTGGCTCATGTTTTGGCTGTCCCAGAGCTACTAGCCTGCATACTGACAATTCAAGAAACACATTCAGGCACAAAGTATTCTGTTCTCAGAACATATTTAATGGCATGCTTGCATTTAAAAACCAAGAGGAACAAATGAAATGCCGAACTTGACTCTAATGCAAAGGAAAATGGAGGCAGATTTTCACAATGTGATTGCTGTCTTGGATCAGTTTTAGGAAATCGGTAGAAATGAACTGGTGCTTAGCACCTCTAAAAGTTGCAAGTAAGAGCAAGGAAGGTCTCAAGTTGTGTAACTCAGTGCTGCACTCTACGTAACAATAACTGAGCTGGAATTAGATGCATACCCACCTTGATTAAACTCACAAATACCCACTGGTAAGGAATTAGTTCAAATCACAATCTTTTCTCTAAATGTGCAACGGAAGTCCTTAATTTTTACAAAATTCCTATTTTGTGTTAGTGAATATGAAGAGTGGAGGTTATTATATTGAACAATATAATCTAGGCTAGTTTATGCGTAAAAAGAATCAATAGTCAAACCTTCTGCAAAGTCTCCCTACATTGGAGATCTCAGTGCTACCTCAGTCCCAGCTCTTGGGTGGAGAAGATCCTTCCACTCAATCATATTCATCCAAACTTTGCATCAGGAGTTTCTGCATGGCCATAAGACATAGTGAGTCAGACATTCCATGGAAGCCGGAGTTGATGTAGTAAAATGGATTTCTTTTAACAGGGATTTTGAACTCGTAGCATCTCTTCCTTCAGGTAGCTTTTTGTGGTTGCTGTGGTCTTCCATTCTGGGTTGAAAAGGGAAAATGGATTTCATTTGAATGGTTAATAATGAATCTAAAGAGCCTGTTTTTATAGTTTCTTTTCTTTTAAGCTGTGAATAATTTTGCAGGGTACGGAGCCAGCCTCATGCATGCCCTGAGGCCAGCAGGCACAGGGCTCAGGCAGCACACGCCTTCACCTAAAAAGGCCGAGGAGCGGCAGGATCCACCTGAATCCAATTACATCTGGTGAACTCCGACATCTGAAACGTTTTAAGTTACACCAAGTTCATAGCCTTTGTTAACCTTTCATGTGTTGAATGTTCAAATAATGTTCATTACAGTTAAGAATACTGGCCTGAATTTTATTAGCTTCATTATAAATCACTGGGCTGATATTTACTCTTCCTTTTAAGTTTTCTAAGTACATCTGTAGCATGATGGTATCAATTTTCTAGTTTCAGTGCTTTGGGACAGATTTTATATTATGGCAGTTGATCAGGTTAACATTTTGTCTTTTCGGTGTGTAGTTGACAGGTAATTTCCAAAATCACAATGCATCCATGGTGTGGAGGGGCTGGGGTATGTTAGAGAAGGTAAGTGGAACAAACAAGCATAAATCACAAGGGTTTGGATGAAACAGTTAATCATGAAGTTATAGCATTTCAAATTTTACTGTCATGTATTTAGACATTTGTCATTTTTAATTGTCCTTCTTTTTAAACTCTCAATACAATATATTTGACCTTACCATGATTCCAGAGAATTCACTATTAAAAAAAGAAAAGAAGTAACTGTGGGAGTGGCATTTAAACAATATAATATATTGTGAACACAATAAAATAGGGAATATAATGTATGAACTTTTGGCATTGGCTTGAAGCAATATAATATATTGTAAACAAAACACAGCTCTTACATAATAAACATTTTATACTGTATGTATAAAATAAAGGTGCTGCTTTAGTTTTCAGACTGTTTTATGGAGTGATCTTTGCATGTGCTATCTTATGGAAATAAAGTTGGTTACAGTTGAGTGGTAGTTGAAACTCCAGAACTCTTAAGAAGAGAAGCTCTTCCCCTTACCCCCATCCTCCCCTACCTTCCCTCTGAGGTTTGATGGTAACACCTTAATCAATAAAGAAATTTTGAAAAAAGAGATATGCTATTCCATCCTCAGACCCTTCCTAGTCTCTATCCTCGTCTCTCCCTCCCAACTCGCTCTCTCTACACAGCACCCTGTTGTCACTGCCTGCAGCACTCTGACTTATGCCTGTTCTCAGCTCAGTTGTGTCTTTCAAGAGGTCTTCCTCAACTGGAATGGGTCAAATATCCATCTGTGGAAGCCTTTCTGAAGGTGTCAGAATGGTATCAATGAAAATAGCTATCATAATTAAAAACCTGTTATTCCCACAAACATTATGTGTATTATCTTACAATCCTAGGGCAGGCATCATTGTGCATTATTACAGATAAAAAAAAAAACACTGAATCATGGTGACAAGAAGAAATTTACCAAGATCACACATGATAGGAAATGGTTTCAAATGATAGGGACAGGTTTCAATCCTCGCATCTGACTCTGGAGCCTTAGACTCTACTGTCCTTTCTCCTTCCTTTCTCTCAGCAAATACAGTAAAAGGCAAAACTCCACAAATCCTAGGTAGCAACTTTCCAACATATTTTATTCTCCCAAGGATATGTGAACTTTATTTTACAGATATTCTAAAGTCTACCAGCTTTCCTATGTTAGGGAGTGGCAATGATCAGCTGTGGGACTTAGGGAAGTGTCTGTTACAGAGGTGGTCCAGGCAGAGGTGGCAGGAGAGGAACATACCTTGTTATGGCACTGGACCTTGGCAGACTTTCTCTTCTAACTAGCCAGAGCCCAGAGTGTCAGCCTGCAGCCTAGAGCTTGCAAAGCATACCAGCAGCAGGAAGCTAACCTTGGGATCCTAACATGAGAATCAACTTATTTATTTAAGACTTTTAAGTAAAAATCCAATTACATGACAATAAGGACCTAAGTGGCAGAAAATTAAATTTGGGGATAGGATGATAATCCTATCTAATAAAAGAACAATATGCAAATTGACCATACCTCCGCTATACCCACAAGCCATGCCCATCAGCCATCCAGGAGTGAGTATGCAAATTAACCCAAGATGGCTGTGGCCACTAACTGCAGCAAGCAGAAGACTTGTGTTTCCCCGGCAATGGAGAAAGCCAAGTTTCCCTGCCACTCTGACTCAAAGGCTACAGAGTTTCAATTATAGAAGATAAATAAATCCCAACAAAAATGACAGCAGCCACAGAACTGAAGATAGCAGGAGGCTCGAGTTTCCTCTGGCAAAGGAGGAAGCCAAGCTTTCTGCACACCCTGAACCCCAATCAAGGCTACAAAAGTTTCAATTATAGAAGATAAATAAATCCCAGATACTAGGGCCTCTGTTTGGGTTGCTGGGAGGGCGTGGCTGACCTGCAAACCACCACAGGCCCCTTACCCAGGCCACACCACATCCCAGGGGAACTCCACCCTGATTTGGGACACCCTTCAGGGCAAATCAGCTGGCCCCCACACATGCACCAGGCCTCTATCTTATCTAATAAAATAGTAATATGCAGATTGACTGTCACTCCAACACACAAGATGACTGCCCCCATGTGGTCAAAGATGGCTGCCCCCATGTGAACACAAGATGGCTGCCACAAGATGGCCAGTAGGGGAGGGTAGTTGGGAGGGACCAGGCCTGCAAGGGAGGGCAGTTGGGGGTGATCAAGCCTGCAAGAGAGGGAAGTTAGGGGTGACCAGGCCGGCAGAGGAGGAAAGTTGGAGGCAACCAGGCCTGCAGGGAAGGGCAGTTGGTGGGAGGGGGGGAGGAGCTAGGCCTGCAGGGGATGGCAGTTAGAGGTAACCGGGCCTGCAGGGGAGGGCAGTTAGGGCAATCAGGCTGGCAGGGGAGCAGTTAGGCATCAATCAGGCTCACAGGGTAGTGGATAGGGGGTAATCAGGCTGGCAGGCAGAAGCAGTTAGGAGCAATCAGGAAGGCAAGCAGGTAAACAGTTGGAAGGCAGCAGTCCTGGATTGTGAGAGGGATGTCTGACTGCCTGTTTAGGCCCAATCCAGATTGGGATCGGGCCTAAACGGACAGTCGGATATCCCTAACCTGGATCAGGCCTAAATGGGCAGTTGGACATTTCTTGAGGAGAGGGTGCAGGCTGGACTGAGGAACACACACCCCCATGCATGAATTTCATGCACTGGGCCTCTAGTAATTATAATAATAACAGAGATAACATTTATATAGTGCTTAGTTTAGTCTCAGCACTTTAGTTGTAAGCTCATAGACAAAAAATAGGATGGTGGGAAGTTAAACCAGAGGCAGGGTGGCAAACTGTAATAGACTAGGTTGGTCATCCCCAGACCATTCTGATTACATAACCCATTATAAATAGTTGAGCACAAAGTCATATGTATTATGATATATAATGTATATATTATAAGAGCCAGAAATGTTAAAATGAAGAGAGAAAAATATAAATAGAAGCTCTAATATTTTCTTCACTTACCCAAAAGATGGTTTGGTGTATACCCTGGAGTACACCCCCCTCACCCCCCAAAAAAGGAGACCTCTGGTAAAGGGGAGAGATAATAGAATCTGAAATGGTGTTAGTGTCAGAGAGGAGAGTTTGGACTCAGCAGAGTGTTCACATCTAAGCAGGGGAATAGATGACTGGGAGTCCAGGGGTTAAGAAGAGAGAGGAACCTGGACAGCCATGCTATTCACTAGAGAGGAATGATGTGGGCTTCCAGAGATATGAGTTCAGTTTTGAAGATGTTTAGATGTTGATGTTCCTTTAGGACATATTAGTGGGAAGTGTCTTGAAAATACAGTTAGAAGGTTAGGCTAATACTTTATTAAGGATTATTTAGATTATTAATGAATAATACTAATTATATGTTGAATTACTTTAAAATATATATATATAATGGCTTTGGTGAAATGCAGTAGGCTTTACTTGTGTTTTTAGACTCCACATATAGTAAACATCCCTTGTTGCTTACCTATGTATATCTTTATGTAACAGTGCGGACTTCACTCTTTGGCAAACTCATTGAGCACTTCATTCCTCCCCTCTCCACATAACCATATATATTATGAGTTTTTTTCCAAGATATACCCTTTCCCTGTGTTGTCACTTTATGTTGAATCACAACAGTGAGAGATCAGCTCTTGAAACAAATGCCACTAATCTGGGACGTGAAATAATTATTACTCATATGGAGTTATACCACAGAAGAGGAAGAGGGGGAGGAAGAGGAATAAGAAAGAGGAGAAAGAGGAGAAGGAGAATATTTAAAATACCTCTAAATAATAATTTAAAAGTTAAAGTAGTAAGAAGTGAAGGCAGTCTGGAAAGATGTATACTATTTACTAAGATAAAATGAGTGGAAAATGAGGCTAAAGGAAATCAAGGTTAGACCACAAAATGGGCCCAGGGGAGATCCCTGCACACTTGTGAGATGTGCACCACATATTTAGCACTAAGTTCTGCTCCAGCCACCTCAAATGGGAAGTCATAGCACATTTCAGTTAGCAAAGACTATAGACACAAAAACTAGTTGCTCAGAAGAAGTTAAACTATACAAAGAATTTACATTTGGGCTGGATCAAGACATAAGGGTCAACGGGAAAGCTACTTCTTGGCATCCCTTCCATTTGAGAGTCTTCAAAATAAACTCTTCCACATTTATTTATAGAGGAGCTGCATGAATAAGAGGTTAAAAATAAAAAACAAATGTGACTAACAGAGTTCAGCTTCTCATCCACCATCTCAGGAAATTTGTCTCTGACTCAAAAATCCTGTGCCCCACCCAGCCAACGAAAACTCTCCAGTTAAATCCAGCCAAGCTACTCAGAGGGAAGTTCATTAAGCATATTGTTACTTGAGCAAGCTCCTTGAAATTCTTAACATTCCCTCCAAGTGGCTTCTCAAAGTATTCCCTCTAACCATATGCAGTACACCTTCTAAAAAAAAAAAAAAATTGGGGAACTAATTGTTTTACCATCTCATTCCAAGTCCATTGAGCCTTATAACACAATTTTAGCCTGATATGCTGAGGCATAGCCGAAGATGAAGTCTTTATTCTGTTTTAATTGAGAGCAGAGAGCAGTGTTCCCGGTGGGTGCCCATAAAGAGCTGAGAGTGCCTGTAATACACAGTGCTCTTCATAGCAGGGAGCAATCTCAG